AATAATAATTTGATATATGGATGAAACTTTGATTGTAGCAAACTGTGTGGTGGTTGCGAAATTAAACATAAATAAATACAAGAAAGATAGTAAACACAGGTAATAAGAACACACATATTTTTAAAAATACAAGAAATAGATCAAACACACAATAAGAAAATCTAAGACTAGATCAAAATATCAACGGATACAGAGAATTCAGAATGAATAAATATTTTCGCACTCGACATAACAAATAAGAAAATTATTAAAATACCCCTAAAAAAATTTGCGAAGTTAGTCTTGATGTGTAGTATATATTAGATTCTATACTACCCATCAATCACAACATGCATGAATCCATGATTCCTTGCCAATTTATGAGAAAACAAGAATCACCCTTATAAATAAATCCTAAGGGATTCATTCGTTAAACTTGGTTGGTGACGTAGGTTTACTACAAAACCATGAACAACCGGGTCTCCTCTCCCTGTAGAGATTCTTGCTCCTTTCACTATAGCGGTCTCTCTGTTCATCAGAGTTGGAGTTTTTCCAAGATGTTGTGTTACGCTGGGATGGTTTCCCTGAAATCCCAAGTCAGTCGTCTCTGTGGGTGGTTGGCTAGGATGGGTTCATGTTTCCGGCGGGGTGTTGTTTCGAGTGTTTTGACTGGTGGCCAACAGAATGGCCATTATACGCTGATCTTCCCCATTGATCCAGGTATTGTGAGGGTCTTCCTTGTTTCCGTTTTAGTTCTAACTTTCTATATGTGTTGTTTTGGTTTTTCTCTAGTCGCGGTGTTGTCTCGGGTTTCTATAGATCAATCAATGGTAAGCGCGGTGGTTCCACCAGTAGCCATGGCCTATGGGGTCTAGTTGGGTGGTGTTGCTTTTATTTCTCTAGTGGGTTCGTGCTTGATACCTGGGATTTCGCTTTCTAGTGGTGTTTTCGTGTATCTGATTTAGGTCTCGGTATGGCCTTCACATACTATCGAATCATCATGTTGTTTGAGGAAGTCTCCGCCGTTAAATTTGGGAATAAATTTAGGGCTTTGGCGAGTCGCACGGGACTCTGTAGCATGTCTTTTGGTCACGAACCGTCCTTTTGCTATGGTCAGCGATGTGTGCACTCCGGTCGCCATTAACTATGGGTCGTGGCTTGGAATTGTCGGAACAATTTGTCACGCTGGTTAAAGGTGGGTTTCTGGCACGGCCATAAGTCTCGTTGTTGGTGGCTAGTCAGTGTTATCTTGCTTCACACATCTTATTGACTTGTATCGGCAATGGATTGAGGTTGGTGTGCAGTCGTTGCAAGGATTTTTGGTGTTTAGCCAATATCAAAAAATGTTTGATGTTAATGATGCTAATATTAATGATGGAGGCTTGCCGAAAAACTGGCCGTACTTTTTGTTTCTGACTTCGGCGACCATTCGACGTCTTTGAGATTTGCGCTATAATGTTTTGTGTCAGAAGAGGGTGTCAAAGTCAACCATTGGGTTAGGAGTTTGTGGCATTGCCGTCACGCAACGAAGCTATCATACGCTTTTGGAACATGCTATTTTCTTTGAGTGGCTAATGATACAGTTTGAGAATGATTATATTGGGCCCCATAGTTTATTAATGCCTCATGTTCAAAATGACAGGGGTTTTATACTTACATATGGGGTTCTTCCCAGGATTTTCCATTTTCTTCTAGTTGGCCCTATAATTGTTGCCTATTTTGTGACTAGGTCTAAACCAAGAAAGGTCCACGCCTTGTGCCAAATGGTGGGCCATGTGCACGTATGGCTTATTGGCTTCAAGATCTATTTCTGGCCTCAAACATCATTAGCTTTTTGGTGCTGGACACATAGAACTTGTAACGCACTTTTTGTATTGTGTGGTCAGAGTAGGTTGGTGGTGTTTGTGTTGCTCTTTTTTGTAAGTGCCATTTGGCTTTGCCAAGAAAAAAAAAATGTAGGTCTACTACACAAGAAATTATTAATTGGCTGATGATGTAGGTCTATGGTGATCTACCACCATACCATGTCACTTGGCTGACATTCTATCAGGACCAATAGATAAAAGACTGTAACCATAGAGAACAAAAGGCCAAAGAATTGATGTATCAAGTTGAAAATCGAGATGAAGATAATCTCGTGTTAGAAAAATCATGTTGAAAATCAAATTGATGTTAAAGTTAAATTAGTCCCAACTCCTAAGCATAAATATTTAAAGTAAATTTCTAAAATTACAAAAAGATATTTAGAGAATTAATTGTCAAAAATCAATAAATTTCTATTTAAAAAAAAAAAAAGGGTGATCATAATTTTAAATATGTAAATGAACAACAATAAAAAGCTATATTAGTATATGAGACTTCCCCAGCTTCGAGTCTGGAGGAGTTAATGTGATATATGCCATATAACTTTCATATTTATAAAACTAAATAATTGATAAAAATAGAATTAAAATTAAAAATAAAAATTTAGGTTAGGAATAACCTAAAAATACTTGTCGAAGTCCATAAAAATTGAAATTGTTCTTGTGGAATTCGCGTCTCAAAAGCCCATTGGAATATTATAAATTTGGGCCTCCCTGATTCTAGAAAGTTCGTTTAATTTGATGGTATATAAATGGAATTAGGAAGAATTCACCTGAAAGTAGCGGAAGATTCTGTAGATTTATGCAAACACAACTGAAAGTAAGAAAGCGGAAAGGTCTTTGCGAGTGTTGTCTGCAATAAGTTTGATGTAATAATAGTCTTTTTGGCATGCAGTGTTATTTCGAAGTCTTGTTACAACTGATAGCCACCGCATCCAAAATTTGAACGTATTTATCAATTATTTGTAACACTTTGGACTGCCTTGAACAACCATTTCTTGCACAGCTAAAGAAACAATGCCAAGTTCCAATTTCATTTCACAAAATTGCCCCACAGTCATCTAGTAGCTTACTTAAAGAGTTCACTAGCTGTATTACTTGGCTTGATAAGCAGGCTCCCAACTCTGTTATATATGTAAACATTGGAATTGCAGTTTCTATAGATGAAAGAGAACTAATTGAGACAGCTTGGGGACTGGCCAACAGTGAGCAACATTTCTTATGGGTGATTCGGCCTGGCTCAGTTTGCGGCTTGGGATGGCAAGAGCTATTGCCACAACAAGGTTTAAAAAAAGAGGTTGTGTCACCGCAGAAGGACGTGCTATCACATGTTGCAGTGGGAGGTTTCTGGGAGCCAATGTGGTTGGAATTCAACCAATGATATGCGAAAGGATGAACAGAGGTATTTGGAACACTGTGGACTGCCTTGAACAACCATTTATTGAACAGCTAAAGAAACAATACCAAGTTCCAATTTTCTCAACGGGTCCATTTCACAAAATTGCCCCACCCTCATCTAGTAGCTTACTTAAAGAGGACACTAGCTGTATTACTTGGCTTGATAAGCAGGCTCCCAACTCTGTTATATATGTAAGCATTGGAAGTGCAGCTTCCATAGATGAAAGAGAATTAATTGAGACAGCTTGGGGACTGGCCAACAGAAAGCAACATTTCTTGTGGGTGATTCGGCCTGGTTCAGTTCGCAGCTTGGGGACCGGCCAACAACAAGCATTGGAAGAGCTACTGCCGGAAGGTTTCAAGAAAGCAGTTGAAGAAAGAGGTCGTGTCGTGGAATGGGCACCACAGAAGGAAGTGTTGGCACATGTTGCAGTGGGAGGCTTTTGGAGCCATTGTGGTTGGAATTCAACCTTGGAAAGTATTGGCGAAGGTGTGCCAATGATATGCCGGCCATATTTTGGGGATCAAAGGATGAACGCGAGGTATGTGAGCCATGTATGGAGGGTAGGCCTGGAATTGGATAATGAGTTGGAGAGAGGACAGATAGAGAGAACTATAAGAAGACTTATGGTGGGTAAAGAAAGTGAGGAGATGAGACAGAGGACAATGGATTTGAGGGTGAAGGTTGAGTTTTCCATAAGGGAAGGTGGTTCTTCTTACAATTCCTTGAATGATTTGGCAGAGCTTATATTGTCAATTTGATTGCCAAGACAGCATGATTGCCAATTTGGTAGAGCATATATTTGAGTGCTCAGCTATTTATTTGTTGTTAACCCCCAAATTGCTTCTATGCAATGTGGATAAACATTAGTTCAGTCAATTTATTCTGGAAAATAAATCAGGAAGTTCTGAAGGTTAGCATATTCTAAATACACGGTCATATATCAGCTGTCCGTTATCAAATGCAATTTTCATTCTCTATGGTCTCTATTTTAGTGGAGGACTGTATATATATATATATATATATATATATATATATATATATTATCAATACCATGATTTTAGCATTAGAATAGAAACTGTGGCCATTTAAATATTATTTTTTTGATCAAACAATTAAGTGGCCACAACATGCAATACTTGTCATGATTCCTTGTTAGCAATACCATGGTTTTAGCATTAGAATAGAACTGTGGCCATTTAAATATTAATTTTTTGATCAAACAATTAAGTGGCCACAACATGCAATAATTGTCACGAGTACAAAGGTTTGGTGGCAAAAATATTAATTTTGAAATTTTGAATTCTTTTCTGGTTTCCGTCAAATAAATTTTTTCAGCACTTTACATTTAATTATAGAAATAGAACCTGCTTTTTTAACCAAACAAATTTATTAACAAATAGAACGTGCTTTTTTCACCTAACAAATTTTGGATGTGACTTCGAAGGGGCTGTTACTTGTTAGAATATATTCTAACAGGCCTTTCCACAAATTGGAGAAATCTTCTACATTTTGTGTCATCTGGGCCACAAAAGCCCATAGGAATATAAAGGAATTAGGAAGAACTCACCTGAAAGTACTGGAAGTTTTTGCAGATTTATGCAAACACGTTCTCCTGAAAGTACTGGAGACTCTACGTAACTCCCAACACATCCCATTCTGCAAAACCAACAAACATCCTGACGAATTAATCAAGCAACCAATCAATCCATTAAACCTCGATTTCATCTTTTCATTTTTGAATTCTAAGAGGATAAAAAATGTCTATAATTCCAAGCATCTTCTCCGCATTGGTGAACACTCGCGTTGATTGGAAGGAGACACCAGAGGCACATGTGTTCAAGGCAGACCTTCCAGGGATCAAGAAAGACGAAGTAAAGGTCGAAATCGAAGACGATAGGGTCTTACAGATCAGCGGAGAGAGGAATGTGGAGGAGGAGGACAAGAATGACAGGTGGCATAGGGTGGAGCACAGCGGCGGCAAGTTCATGAGGAGGTTCCGGCTACCGGAAAATGTCAGGACCGATCAAATCATGGCTTCCATGGAAAATGGAATACTCGCCGTTACTGTTCCCAAGGAGGAAGGCTATTGACATATCTGGTTGAATTGAATTGTTTAGCTTAGCCATATCCAGCGGACTCGCAGAAGCCCAATTTCTGCGAGCCAAGGGCCCGTTGGGTGCACAGCGCCCTAGCTAAAATGGTGGGCCCTGTTTTTGCTTGCGGGCCGGCTCGTGATATTTAGCGACCCGGCCCGCGATCGCTATTCATTTTCATTTTTTTTTTTTCAAAACGGCGCCATTTTGAACGGTCTATTTTGTCTTATACCATGTCTGGTGGAACAGTGGCAGGCATTGTTTGGCAGAATTATTTAAAAAAAAAACAAAAAAAAAAAGCCAAAAATAGGTTATTTTGAGTTCTTTTTAGAAAAAAAAAAAAAATTAATAAAATTTATTAAATAAAAAATATATTATTTAGGCACTATTTATCGAAAAAAAATTTTATTTGGGCCAAAAATAAATTTAAAAAGCTTCTTCCCCCCCCCCCCCCCCCCTTAAAATTTGTTTTTTAAAATTTTTTTTACTTTAAATTTTAAATGTGTACCACAAACAATGCATTTGGCCGTTAAGGCACTGTTTGGCGGACACAAATAGTGCCTTAATGGCTATAATTTTTAAATATATATATATATAATTTTTTTTTTTACTTTTGTAAAAAAAATAATTAAAATTACAAATACATCTACTTATTCCCATAGGATTTTGTAATCTTTATTTTCTTATTCCAATTCATTATTTTTAATCCTTATTTTGTAATCCTTATTTATTCGGGCCAAAAATAAATAAATAAAACTTTTTTAAAAAACTTTTTGTAAAAAAAATAATTAAAATTACAAATTCATCTACTAACTCCTATAGGATTTTGTAATACTTATTTTCTTATTTCAATTCATTATTTTTAATCTTAAAAAATCATTACATAATAAAAATTCTAGTACACGAAATGTTATAACATCTTAAAAGCAAACAAAATGTAACATAAATTAAACATCTTCGTCAGCATAGCGGTTCCACAAATTTTCCATCAAATCATTCCTCAAATGAGTTTTGCTACAATAGAGAGAGATGAATATAGTGATGATTTTCAGATATAGCCATTACAAATATAGCCGTTACGAATATAGTTGTTTAGGAAAAGTTAAAAAAATATATATATATATTAAAAAAATTTAAAAATTAATTTTAATTTTTTATTATTATTATTTTTTTAGAGCGAAAATTCGAAGAGCCTGATGTAGTGTATGTTTTTGGAGAACGAAAACTGCTGACATGGCTCTTAGAATTGCTGACGTGCCTCTTGAAAAAGTTGATGCGGCGTTTTTAGAGAGCCAAAATTCGAAAAGGTTGGTGCAGATAGCTTACAATATGTGATGTAAGAAAGCTGAGGAAAAGTCTTTGTTAGTGTTCTGTACTAGTGGGGGTAATAAGTTTCATGTAGTAATAGTCTTTTTGGCACTGTTATTTTTGAGTTCACGTGAATTTGAGTTTCATTTGTAAAATAGTAATTAAAAAAAAAAAAATATTACATATAAACAGTGTTAATAACTCATATTTATTATTTGATGGAGTCAAAGTCTTATAGTTTCAAAAAAAAATGAAGTTGACCAAAATACTGACGTGGATACGGAAAAATACTATTCACTCTCACAGAGGTACCACTTTTAAGCATATAGGTACTACTTTTGTGTACGCATGTATTACTTTTTATGCATCAGGTATCACTTTTATTTTTGGCATAGAGGTATTACTTTTATTTAAATAGATACCAATTTTTGTGCATTTAGGTACTTTTTGATTAAAAATAAAAAAATAGTACCTATATGCTTAAATGTGATACCTATATGAGGATAAACATTGTTTTTTTCATGTCTTCATCTTTTCGAAAGTATGAGACTTTAACTCCATTAAATAGTAAATATGGATTATTAGTACTATTTATATGTAATAATCCAAAAAAAAAAAAAAAAATTGAGTTTCATTTTAAATGTTTGACTATTCTCTGCAACTCAAGGTTCGCCACTAGAACAACTACGACAGTAGAATAGGTACACGCTTGGGGAGTTGCCGAGTTGGGGTGCATATGGCTTGCCTCCAAGTTTTTTTGCTAAAGATCCCATGTAACAAAAATTTTAAAGAGTATCATTTGTTTAATTATATATGATGATGCGGAACGAATTGTTAAAACTTTTACGGCCCGTTTGAATCACCAAGGGCCAAATAGGTATGCTGACAAATTTTCTGGATTGATCCTGAATTATCCATTTTTGACCGGCATGAGAGTTTTTTTTTTTTTTTTTTTTTATTGAAAATGACCCAACGAGCAAGACACACTGCAACGCTGTGACGTAATCTGTTTTTCGACAAAATACAATTTTTTTATTTTGAGATTGCCAAAAGTTGCGAAAATGAAAATAAGGCACTCCAATAGACTCTCAAAATATGGAATGATTGTTGTGTCAAAAAATAGCATTTTGAATGAAATGCACTACTGAAGCAGAATTGCAAAGATGTAACTTTTTAACACTGCAACTCCTCTCAAAATATAGATTTGGCATGAAAATATAGCATTTTGCATTGAAGATATGAGAGCTGCTATATTTGGCAATACTTTTGACAATTTCAAAATACGAGAGATCTTTTGAGATGCCATTAGAATGTCTTATTTTCATAAACTTGTTATATTTTGAATTTGAGAGGTCATTTGAGAGGGTATTGGAGATGCTCTGAAAATTTCAAAATATGAAAGGTCTTTTAAGAGCCTATTAGAGTGCGTTATTTTTATCCACTTGCTATATTTTGAGTTTGAGAGGTTATTTGAGAGCATTTCCAATGGCCTCTCAAAAGGCCTCTCATATTTTGAGATTGTCAAAAGTATTGCCAAATATAAAAGCTCAAATGGCCTATTAAACTCAAAATATAGCAAATAGATGAAAATAAGGTACTCAAATGGGCTCTTAAGGTTCTCACTAGTGGGGATTTACATCATACTGACTATTGATGTGGACCAATAATAAATGAGCATGTCATCTTTAATTACCAAATCAAATATAGTGGGTAGATACTCACTTACACTGATTATGATTTGGTAATTAAAATATGATGTGTCCATTTATTATTGGTCCACATCAGTGGTAAGTATGCCATAAATTCTCATTAGTGATGACCTAAGTATTGTCTATATATATACACACTAGTAAAACAACCTGAGTGAGAGTGTTTGTATAAAATTTATTTTTATATATTTATTAAAATTAATAATATTATATAAATTTTAATATAAGAGTAATTTGTGTATAAATTTTTTAAAGGAAGTTGATAGAGTATAGGATTTTATTAGTAGTTGATATAAAATTTATAGAATTCTATTTTATTTTATAAAATAAAATAGGTAATTTGTGGTAGAATTTTATAGAAACTCTTTTTAAAAAACAAAATAAAAATATTGGGCTATATATATATATATATATTATATCTATTAATAAATACTAAAATAAAATATAAAATAAGTAATTTGTGGTAGTTTTTTTAGAATACATTAATATATAATTTGTGTAGAAATTATTTTAAAAACTCTTTTTATATTAATAAATAATTACTGAAAAAACTAATTTTAGTGTTTTAGAAACTCTTTTTAAAACTATTTTTATTTTAATTAATAAATACTTTTTTATATTAATAAAAAAAATATTGAAATACGGAAACTCTTTGCATTTTTAATAATAATAAAAAAAAGATTTAATAAAAAATTCATTTTATAAATATTTTTTATATTAATAAATAATTACTATAATACTGAAACTCTTTAAACTTTTAATAATAATATAAATAAATATAAATATATTTGATTTTTACTTGGCCCCTCTTATCTCCAGAATACCATGCAAAACACTCCTCTCCGCGTGGGTAAAAATTAAATTATTTGCAGGAGTCAAATTTTATACACATGATAGTTCATGAGACAGAGCCGAGTATTCACACTCCAAAAATACTCCACTGCCGACCGCCTAATGAAACCCATGGCCGAACGAGGAGCAACGAGCCAACAACACAATCATTATTTCCGAACACATTAATCCAAATAAAAGAAGGTATTAAGAAACAAGTAATTAACCGTCTTTCGCTTGTCATTTTCAGAACCTACCCAAGACTGTATAGACTCAATACAGTGTTACAAATTAATTAAAGAGTTATACTCATTTCGGCAAATTTTTTTTTAACCTCCCAGAAAACAAAAGAGACAAACTAAGAAAAACAGATCATCCTCAATGACTTTAGATAACAGCCACGAGGACAAAACATTCCACTTTGCATCTTTTGATTATTTTTTGCTGAATAACTCCATATTTACTAAGAAGAGTTCATTCTTACTTATTCCATGAGATATGATATTTGATTATGCCCGTGAAAGAAAAAATTTCTCGTGGTCCACATCTTTCTGTTTTACTTGTTAGTCAATTTTCGATAACTTAAGAATTTTCTCATCTTCAGGACGGTGACTTGCACCTAATAACGTCTTAGAATTACAACCCTAAACCTTGTCACAAACACACACACAGAGATGCAAGAAGAAAGGAGATGCAGAGTGGTGCTAGTCCCATGTCCATTTCAAGGACACATAAACCCTATGCTTCAACTAGGCACTACCCTACACTCCATGGGCCTCTCAATCACGGTTGCACACACTCAATTCAACTCTCCTAATCCTTCCAAACACCCTGATTTCATATTCCTCCCCATTCAAGATGGCTTAACCGTTACCAATACGTCCTCCGGAGATCTCATATCTCTTGTTAAAACTCTTAACATCAACTGTGAAGTGCCCTTCCAAGAATGCTTGGCTCAAATGATGGACCAGAATCAGGACCAGCATGGTAAGGTGGCCTGCATAATCTATGACACGCTCATGTACTTTTCGGAAGCTGTGGCTAATCACCTCAAACTTCCGAGCATCGTCCTGCGTACCAGTGGTGCTTACTCCGGGCTCGCTTACCGTGCAATTCTCCAGCTCCAAGCTGAAGGCCTTCACATTCCCATCCAAGGTGTGTGTGCCAACCAAAGACCCGATCAATATAATTTAAGACCTTAGCATGAAATTTGAAAAATGGCTCTTTAATGTTTAATGTATTCATATTAAAAAATACTCTCTCTGTCCCAAAAAAAAAGTGTCCGTTGAGAGCTCGTGCAGAGCGTGTGAATGGTATCTGTTGAGAAGAATTGTGCGACTTCATTGCTCTATCTATAATTATCTATAAAACTAAACTTAAACTTTTCTACACATTAGTTAAGAAAAAATTCCATTCACATCCATTTCAATCAACAGCATTGAGATATAAATTGTTAATCAATAGTAGCACTTGGAATATATCCTAGAGTTGCATTTGGAGCATTGTTTTTCAACTTCATATCATATATTAAATGACTGAACAGTAGTTAAAATTCACTGATATATAAGTAATAACATACCAAAACCACCATGTATTGCAGATTCTGTGTTGCAGGATCTAGTGCCTGGCCTTCATCCCCTCAGATTCAAGGATCTTCCTCTTTCCAATTTCGGACCTTTGGAAAACTTGCTACAGTTAGTTGCAATAGTAAGCAATAATAGAACATCTTCAGCCATCATTTGGAACACTATGGACTACCTTGAGTGTCCCTCACTGACACAACTCCAGCAACAGTACAAAGTTCCATTGTTCTCAGTTGGCCCTTTGCATAAAATTTCTCCAGCCTCCTCTAGTAGCTTGCTAGAGGAGGACACTAATTGCATTTCTTGGCTTGACAAGCAGGTTCTTAACTCAGTTATCTATGTAAGCTTGGGGAGCTTAGCTTCCTTGGGTGAGGCAGCTTTAACCGAGATGGCTTGGGGGCTAGCCAACAGCAATCAACCATTCTTGTGGGTAGTTCGACCTGGTTCAATTCGCGGTTCAGAATGGATAGAGCTGTTGCCAGAAACTTTCAAAGCAAAATTTGGAGACAGAGGTTATATTGTGAAATGGGCACCCCAAGGAAAGGTGTTGGCACATGGTGCGGTGGGAGGGTTTTGGAGCCACTGTGGTTGGAATTCAACCTTGGAAAGTATCTGTGAAGGGGTTCCAATGATTTGCTGGCCATGTTTCGGAGACCAGAAAGTGAATGCAAGGTATCTGAGTTGTGAATGGAGGATAGGGCTAGAGTTGGAGCATATGGAGAGAGGGAATATAGAGAGAGCTGTAAGAAGACTAATGGTGGACAAAGAAGGAGAGGAAATGAGGCAGAGAGCGATGGATTTAAAGGAGAAGGCTGAGGTTTGTATCAGGAAAGGTGGTTCTTCCTACAATTCCTTGAATGACTTGAAAGAAATCATCCTGTCATTCTAATTGCTAGTGAAATAGAAGGGCCTCGTTTAGCAGCATTCATTGTCTAATGCCATGTTGCAACTCAAACATTTAAATTGTTTTCTGCTTTATCCATGGAATCTGTTGTACCTGTTTAGACCTTCATTTCTTCTTCCTATGCTGCACTAAGGATATGCAATGTTAACAAGATCACAAAATCCTTTCAAACTATTGTACAAACTAAATTTGTGTGTGTGTGTGTGTGTGTGTGAGAGAGAGAGAGAGAGAGTTCAATTTTGACAACATTTGATAAAAGACCAGAGGCTACACGCAGAGCAGGCTTTTATTTGGGTTCATATCTGAATATTAGTTTAGCAGACTTTTGTATCTGGTTATTTTTTATTTTGAGGATAGGTTGTTTGGTTGGAAGTGGATTTAGTTCACTTCTTGACATGTATTGGAGGTTATACTCCTATTGTAATTGTACTATTTTGAATATTTTTTTATAAAACACCCCATTCAGGAAAAAAAAAAAATTGTTTTCTGCTTTATCCATGGAATCTGTTATACCTGTGTAGACCTTCATTTCTTCTTCCTATGCTGCACTAAGGATATGCAATGTTAGCAAGATCAAGGATCCTTTCAAACTATTGTACAAACTAAATTTGTGTGTGTGTGTGAGAGAGAGAGAGAGAGTGTTCAATTTTGACAACATTTGATAAAAGAATAACAAAAGGAGAGGAGAATATTGCAGGGAGAAAAGAAAGTATCTGATGTCAAATTTGTCTTTTGTTGCAGAAATTATTTCTAGTAACTATTTATTGGACTCAAAAGATTGTTTTTGTAAGACAGCAATGATTTTCAGCATTAAAAAAATAAATAAATAATAATAATAATAATAATAAAAAGAACTATGATTATATATTTCTAGGAAGACAGTAACAAGCTTATAAGAGACTAAATTTGCTGCTGCATTGGTAAGAAATCAAGTCTAATCGACCCTCCTATGATTCGTCTGTACACATGAATTTTGTAAGTCTGCAATAGAAACAAAATATGGAGCAAATAATATAATTTTATTAATTTGAGAAATTGAGGTGCAATCCTCTGTAATATTCTTTACAAAAGAAAGAACTGGTCCTCTGATTAAATCTCCTTTTTTTGTTGGTTGGTTGGATCCAAGGCTACACAGACTTGATCTTGAATCACCGTGGAATTTGATGAAGAATGGCATGTCTTTGACTGTTTTTGATGAAGAATTTGATGTATCAAGAGTTTGTATCAAATTTGCTGCCATTAGGCTTGTATCAATTGGAATCCATGCTTAACACGTGTCTAGATTTCTGAATTCTGACTTTGTGTATCCCTTCTTCTTCCTCTAGGCCTCTATTTATAGGCTTCTTGAATTAATAAGATGATGACACGTGTCATCTCCTGATAAGGATAAAATTATAACTGGGCCGGGCCGGTTATATTGTGATAATTATGCTTAGAAATAATTATTCCAAATATATTTTATTAGGAATAATTATCTTTCCATTTAATTATCTGGGCTGGGCTAATTAAATAATTTAAGTGGACCAAGCTTGGACCAATTAAACAATTTAATTAAACATTAAACCCATATTGAATGGGTCAATTTATCAACACCAATGTCCATTAAATTTTTAGTGTCTACAGCTTCCAAACAAGTTCTTTGAAGATTTCCATGTCAATCATCACTACGATGCTTCATATACACATCAGGTCAAGAAAATCCAATGTTAAGCATGGTGTGATCTTGAAGTAATATATGTTATATAATCAGGATTGTGACTCCCCACCAACAATATATATAAAAAAAAATTTCTCTCTCTGCCGTCTAGAAGTAATTTAGTATTACATATGACGACTTATGATAGATTTCAAATACATGTTTATACATAAAAAAGACTTCCTAGGGTTGACTAAAGGCAATTTCATTTCCTGAAGCCTAAGGATTAATACTAGTACAAAAAGGCAATCTTCTGCAGCACTGATTGCAGATCATTAGAGAGAGAGAAATGGAAAAACAAGGACAGAGGTGTAGTGGATTGGTGCTAGTCCCATGTCCATTCCAAGGCCACATAAACCCAATGCTTCAGCTAGGCGCAATCCTTCACTCCAAGGGCTTCTCTATAACAATTGCTCACTCCCAATTCAACTCTCCTAACCCTTCCAATCATCCTAATTTCACTTTCTTACCCATACAGGATGGACAAACTGATCATGACGCCACCTCTACGGATTTCATCTCTCTCATAACAGCTCTAAACGTTAATTTAGTGTTCCCTCTCCAAGAAAGCTTGGCTCAGATGATAAAACAAGAGGAGAAGAAAGAAAGGATCACATGTGTCATATATGATGCTATCATGTACAAGGCAGAAGAGGCAGCAAATCATCTAAAGCTTCAAACCATTGTCCTGGTGACAAACAGCGCTGCTACTAGGCTAACTCATTTTACCTATCCACAACTTCAAGCAGAGGGCTACATTCCCCCAAAAGGTTCTTGTCTATTCCCAACCCTCTATTCGTGTTTATTTGTATTGTTTGATACTCTGAATAATGTAAATATCTAGTGTTATAATTAAGGGAAGGACCAAGAATAACAATAATAATAGCTAAATTGTCCATACCATATATTAATTACAAATAAATCTTAATAGTAAGGTACAAAATGTTGCCTTGAAAATAATGCCTTCTGTGTCAGCAACGAAGGAGAGTAGCACCTTTTATGTTTATCTTTATACATGCATATATATGTCTATATTTTTATAGCCCACAAATTTCACTGATATGGAAATGTTACTATTGTCACAGACTCAATGTTGCGAGACCTAGTTCCTGGGCTTCATCCCTTCAGGTTCAAGGATCTAACCATTTTAAATTTCCCAAATTTAGAAGCCTTGTTACAACTGATAGCCACCACAATCAAAATTAGAACGTCTTCAGCAATTATTTGTAACACTGTGGACTGCCTTGAACAACCATTTCTTGCACAGCTAAAGAAACAATACCAAGTTCCAATTTTCTCAATGGGTCCATTTCACAAAATTGCCCCACCCTCCTCTAGTAGCTTACTTAAAGAGGACACTAGCTGTATTACTTGGCTTGATAAGCAGGCTCCAAAGTCTGTTATATATGTGAGCATTGGAAGTGCAGCTTCCATAGATGGAAGAGAACTAATTGAGACGGCTTGGGGACTGGCCAACAGTAAGCCACATTTCTTGTGGGTGATTCGGCCTGGTTCAGTTCGTGGCTTGGGATGGCGAGAGCTATTGCCAGAATGTTTCAAGAAAGCAGTTGAAGAAAGAGGTTGTATCGTGGAATGGGCACCACAGAAGGAAGTGTTAGCACATGTTGCAGTGGGGGGTTTCTGGAGCCACTGCGGTTGGAATTCAATCTTGGAAAGTATTTGCGAAGGTGTGCCAATGATATGCCAGCCATGTTTTGGGGATCAAAGGTTGAACGCAAGGTACGTGAGCCATGTATGGAAGGTAGGCCTGGAATTGGATAATGAGTTGGAAAGAGGAGAGATAGAGAGAGCTATAAGAAGACTAATGGCAAGTAAAGAATGTGAGGAGGTGAGACAAAGAGCAACGGATTTGAAGGTGAAGGTTGAGCATTCCATAAGGGAAGGTGGTTCTTCTTACAATTCCTTGGATGATTTGGTAAACCATATCTTGTCAATCTGATTGCTAAGACAGCAAGGCATTAGAGTGCAATATGGATAAACACTAGTTCAGTTAATTTATTCTGCAAAATAAATTGGGAAGTTCTAAAGGTAACATACTCTAAATACAGAGTCACATATGAGTCTGTATATTATCAACTGCCATTCTCATTCTCTATAGTCTCTATTTTAGTGAGTAAAATGTAAAAGATTGTTTGTACCGTACATTTATTCAAAACTAGTATAACCACGTGATGAAATAAACATTTTATATGACAAATGAACTTTAGATAGAACCCTCTACTTTATTTGAAAAATAATAATTCAAAATCTGGAATTAAAAGAATTCACAAAAGAACCAACTCACTCTAGTAATATTCACTTCACATAGATGTGTAACTCAACATAATGATTACCATTTGATCAAGCATAAATAATTGGAATGTATTTTTCTTATTTAAATTTCATTGCATTCAAATCAAATGCCCTAGAAAAAACAGTAAAGCAACGAATGAAAATTTAGAAGAAAAGGAGGGGAAGAAAAAAAAGCACATCAAAATATACCATGTCTCTTCTTGGCTGCTCTTAGGTCAAGACTAAGAGATATTCATTTCATTGGATGCACAAGAATTCACGTTCTCCTGCAAATCAAAAAGATGACTTGGTTGTTAATTTAGAAAATGGTCTCTCGTGTAGCACTATTGGCAAGGTGTTAGACACATCCATTTTCTTGATCTAAAAATGCTATCAAAAGACAGTAAGCACGCAAGCAAGTGTTTACTTCCATACTAATAGATTTGTATAATCAAATATACTTCCTCCAAAATGTTGTCTTCAGTTAGGCGGGTTCAAAAAGGAACCAAATCGTTCGCTTTCGGAAAGAATGTTACTCTAAAAATGAAATAGTGTAATTCTCGGAAAGGCAATTTCTTCGCATAGGTCAAGTTCCAAGCCCAGTAATGTGTACGTGTTGGAAAAAAAAAAAAAAAAAACACTTTTAATAATACCATATAGACTCAGTCTCATATGAATCAAACAATTATAGAAAACTTCCTAAAAATCGCCACTCTAAAATGTGAAGTGAGTGATTGTCAGACTCTCTCAAGTATTCCGTGTAAAAATTATTTTTCAAAAATAATAATAATAAACACCTTGATCAGAAAAAAATAATAATAATAAAAATAAAAGAAATAAATCACCCCAAAGACAGGGAGAGAGTGTGTGGCTGAAGGGCCATTTGACAAATTGGAGGAACCCTTTTGTAATTTGTTGTGTAATGTGGGCCACAAAAGCCCATAGGACTATGTTAATTGAGACCACAGGCCCACAGTTACTCTAGAAAGTTCGTTATGATGCCATCACAAAATGGGAAGAAATCTCCGGCAGGTGCTGGAAGGTTCCCTCCTAAATCCAAAAAAACGCAACGGCTACGGAAAGTACTGGAAGATTCCTTTCGAATCTATAAATACCCAACACATCCCCAGCAGCAAAACCAATAAAAGCATCTTGACGAATCAAGCAAGCAACCAACCAATCAATCCTTCAATCTCCACTCTTGAGTTTTGCAATCTTCAATTCAAGAACAGAAAAAAAATGTCTATGATTCCAAGCATCTTTGGTGGCCGACGAAGCAACGTCTTCGATCCATTCTCTCTCGACGTTTGGGAACCCTTCAACTTCAAGGACTTCCCATTCTCTTCCTCTTCTTCAAACGAGGTGTCTGCATTGGTAAACACTCGTGTTGATTGGAAGGAGACACCGGATGCCCATGTGTTCAAGGCAGACCTTCCAGGTATCAAGAAAGAAGAAGTGAAGGTCCAAATTGAAGACGATAGGGTTCTGCAGATCAGCGGAGAGAGGAATGTGGAGAAGGAGGACAAGAACAACAGGTGGCATATGGTGGAGCGCAGCGGTGGCAAGTTCATGAGGAGTTTCCGGCTGCCGGAGAATGCCAGGACCGATCAGGTCAAGGCTTCCATGGAGAATGGAGTGCTCACTGTTACTGTTCCCAAGGAGGAAGCGAAGAAGCCTGATGTCAAGTCTGTTGAAATCTCTGGTTGAATTGAAATTCCGTTGTTAATCTATACCATGTGTATGATGTAATGATGGTAAGAATCCTGAGAAAATTATTGTAAGAATGCTGAGGAAATGTATTTCTTTAGCATTGCGTTAGTAAAAATAGATAAATAAAAGTATTGCGTGCAATATGTTTGATGAAATAATACCTTTTAAAATATATATATGTTTGATGAAATAAGTGTTAAATGAAAGTAGTAGTTATTTTGAGTTCATTTGAGCGTCTTTCTTGATTTTGGTTTTCTTAATTTATCTTTAAATGTTTGATTCTTATCTGCAATTTAAGTTTTAGCCCTATATATATATATATATATATATATGGCGTTGAAACATAGGACAATGGATTTGAAGGTGAAGGTTGAGCTTTCCATAAGGGAAAGCGGTTCTACTTACAATTCCTTGAATGATTTGGAAGAGCGTATCTTGTCCATTGACAACACAGCAGGTATTAAAAGGGTTATTTGTTTCGCATGATACCCGAATGAAAAAGTGATTAGATATAAATATGTTAGCATGTAGTACTATTTAATAATTTGAGTTTTTGGATAAATGGGTAAGCGCTCACCAAGCACCCAGTCTCAGAAGGCATCCTGGTGAAACACCCTAGATAGGCAAGGTGGCCCGACCGGAAAAAGGGCGTTGCGAGTTCAGGTGGGAGAGAATGTTACAAAAGGTCATTTGTCCCACATCAGATCAGGATGGGAAAGTGATTGGGTATACAATATTACCCAACAGCTTGAACTTTTGAGTGAATGGATATGCGCCCATCCATTATAGTTGATATCAGAGCCAGAGACTCAATCCTTGATCCTGTGCGCTAGTTCGGATGGGTTATTTGTCCCACATTGGATTCAGATAAAAAAATAATTGGCTATAAATTGATGAAAAAAAATTTACTCTTCTTGTTAGTCAAATCACTCTATTCTCAAAATTTCATAAGATTCGGTGCCAAGGATATTAATGCAATCATTTTACTAAAGTTCGCCTGAAATGCACGCCCAGAGAAGCAAAATTAGCAAATAATATATATATATATATATATATATTCTTATAATTCTTCTCCTGTTCTGGTCGTTTTCTGGAATAACCATACGTTTTATATGGTCTTGCTGTTCTTTTTTTCCAGTTGACGTGGCCGATTGATTTACCAGCGGATAGAAGCGAAGGGGAGGGGTAACGTAGAGGATCCTGGTCCCGTTTTGTAGGTTCTGGCCCAGAAAAGCCCATAGTAATATATACAACTGGGCCTCACTGAGTCTAGAAAATTCGTTTAATTTGCAGCTATCATAAAGGAAATAGGAAGAATTCACCTGAAAGTACTGGAAGGTTCTGTAGATTTTTGCAAACACAGCAAAGAGAAAGAAGAATCCTCCTGAAAGTACTGGAGCCTCCCTCATGAATTTTCATATACCCAACACATCCCCTTCCGCAAAAGCAACAGACATCCTGACGAATTAAGCAAGCAACCAATCAATCCATTAACCTTCAATTTCATCTTTTCAATTTTCAATTCGAAGAACATCAAAAATGTCTATGATTCCAAGCATCTTTGGTGGCCGACGAAGCAACGTCTTCGATCCTTTCTCTCTCGACGTTTGGGACCCCTTCAAGGACTTCCCATTCCCTTCCTCTTCTTCTTCAAAGGATGTCTCTGCACTGTGAACACTCGCGTTGATTGGAAGGAGACACCGGAAGCCCATGTGTTCAGAGCAGACCTTCCGGGCATCAACAAAGAAGAAGTGAAGGTCCAAATTGAAGATGATAGGGTTTTGCAGATCAGCGGAGAGAGGAATGTGGAGATGGAGGACAAGAATGACAGGTGGCATCGGGTGGAGCGCAGTGGCGGCAAGTTCATGAGGAGGTTCCGGCTGCCGGAGAATGCCAGGACCGATCAAATCAAGGCTTCCATGGAGAATGGAGTGCTCACCGTTACTGTTCCCAAGGAGGAAATGAAGAAGCCTGATGCCAAGGCTATTGACATCTCTGGTTGAATTGAATTGTTTAGCTTCTAATCTATACCATGTGTGATGTAAGAAAGCTGAGGAAAGTCCTTTGTTAGTGTTGTGTACTTGTGGTGGGTAATAAGCGTAGTAATAGTCTTTTTGGCAGTGTCATTTTCAATTCTTGTGAATTTGAGTTTGAGTTTCATTTTTAAAATAGAAAATAGTAATTAAAAAAATTTAAAAAAAAAAAAAAAAAAAAAAAAAACGTAGTTTCATTTGTAAAATAAAAAATTGAGCTTCATTTATTGAGTGTGTGTTTCTTTATTTTAATGTTCGACTATTCTCTGCAAATGAAGTTTTAGCTATTGGAAGAACAACTATGATAATACAATAGGTACACCCTTGAGTTGGGGGAGTGAATATGGGTGCCTCCCAAGTTTCTTGATAAAGAGACTTTGTGGACCTCTGGTTGCATGTCTCACAAAAAATTTTAGAGAGTATTGTTTGTTCAATTATATATGATATAATACTGAAAACAAAAATAGTAGAAAGTTGACCATACCCTTAAATTTATTTTATTTTTCAAGACAAGAAAATAATTATTCAAACTCAAAGAGAATTAATACATCAAAACACTCACATTTCTCTCCATTAGACATTGCCTAGGCGGCCAAAGCATGAGCTTCTCCATGAGAACACACCTGAAATGGCTTTGTCTTGACCCAAAAGATCAAATCATCTACCACAGACAGAAGTTGCAATGGGGAAATACCAGGATTTATAACAGATTTCAAAATCACCTGAGCATCAGTACCAAACACACTTTTACAAAGTTCCAATTCATAACTAGCTCCATACCATTCCTCAACACCATGAGCCCCCCCCCCCCCCCCCCCCCCCCCCCCCCCCCGCGCGCGGGGAGTCTCTAACCACTATACAACCTCCAGCAACCTGAAGTCAAAAGCAGCACCAGAATTTATCTTTACCCAATCTCTTTGAGGAGGAGACCAAACAATACTGTATCTTGAAACCACCCTATCCCCTGAATCGGTACTTTGAACAACATTCCGATCCATAACTCCCACATACTCTTGATGATGATAAGCAGCAACCCTTCCAATATCCATCTCTGACCATCACTTTCCATCCAAATTTCAACCGTTTCTAGCTCTCATTTACCAGAATCAACTGAAGCACATCAATTCTAAGAAGATGGGATAGTTTCCACACCAAAGCAGCCCTAGAACACCTGCACAACAGGTCCACCCCATACATCTCACACGTCAAAGAGTCCACTACATTATTTCAATATAGATTTTCTAGAACAGCAACTTTATTATGCATGCATCACCACAAAAAATGCTTAACTTTTGGCAGAACATATAGAGACCATATGTTCGGTTAAAAACTGTCCCTCTCTTCTACATTCTTCACCACTCAGATTATGCTGCTGCAAAAGGCTATTCTTTAACTTAATAGCCGCTCGATAAGCAGATTTGACTGACAAATCTCCATTAGGAGTCAATAACCAAACCCGTTTATCCTCTGATCATAACATTTTGAATGAAAGGTGTTGGCACAAGGTGCAGTGGGACAGGTTTGGAGCCACTGTGGTTGGAATTCGACCTTGGAAAGTATCTGCTAAGGGGTTCCAATGATTTGCACATGGCCATGTTTCAGAAACCAAACAGTGAATGCAAGGTACCTGAGTTATGAATGATAGACCTAGAGAGCATTTGGAGAGAGGGAATATAGTCTATAGAGAGAGAGAGAGAGAGAGCTGAAAGAAAATTTATGGTAGATAAAGGAGGAGAGAAAATGAGGCAGAGAGCATTGGACTTAAAGGAGAAGGCCGAGCTTTGTATCAGGAAAGGTGGTTCTTCCTACAATCCCTTGAATGACTTCAAAGAAATCATCTTTTCATTCATTGTCTAATGCCTAGTTGCAACTCAAAGATTTAAACTGTTTTTCTACTTTATCCATGGAGTCTGTTATACCTGTTTAGACCTTCACTTCTTTCTATGCTGCATTAAGGATTTGCAATGTTAACAAGAAGGGATCAAACTAAATTAGTGTGTGTGTCTGACTGTCTGTGTGTAAGAGGTAGAGGGAATGAGTTCAATTTTGATGACTTTTGACAAAAATAAACAAACAACAAAAACAAAAACAAACAAAGAAACAAAAAATAAAAATAAAAAATAAAAAATAAAAATAAAAAGAAGAGTGGAGAATATTACAGGGAAAAATATTTATCTGATGTCAAATTTATGTCTTCTATTACAGAAATTTTATTTAAAGATATAGTAACCCTTTATTGGACTCAAAAGTTTTATATTTTGTAAGAGAGCAATGATTCAGTATTAAAAAAATAAATAAAATAATAAAAAGGTTAACTCCTGCCTTTTATATTTTATTTTTACCTTTAAAAAAAAACAAAAACTCTGTTCTATAGATTTCTAGCATGGCAGGAAGCCTAGAAGAGACTAAATTTGATGCTACAGTTGTAAGAAATAAAGTCTACAAGGCCCACCCGTAAATCCTGCAAAAAAGAACAAGATCAAGACCTGCTTTCAATCAAGTTCTTGGAAATTTATGTCAATCATAACTACGATGATTCATATGCACATCCTGTCAAAAAAGTCCAATGTCATAAAGCATGGTGATATCTTGAAGTAATATAAGTTACATAATATTGATTGTGACTCACCATCAACTCGATATAAACAAAATTATCTCTCTGTCATCTAGTAAGTAATATAGTATTACAGATGACGACTTATGGAAGATTTCTAATACATGTTCATACAAAAAAAAAAGACTTTCAAACTAATACTAAAGGGAATCATTCTGCTCACACATGATGATGAGAGAGGGAAAGATGGAAAAACAAGGACAGAAGTGTAGTAGATTGGTGCTAGTCCCATTTCCATTACAAGGCCACTTAAACCCAATGCTTCAGCTAGGCACAATCCTACACTCCACAGGCTTCTCTATAACAATTGCTCACACCCAATTCAATTCTCCAAACCCTTCCAACCATCCTAATTTCACTTTCCTACCCATACAGGATTGTATATCTAATCATGATGTTGATATCTCCTCTGTAGATTTCATCTCTCTCATAACAGCTCTAAATGTTAATTTAGAGTTACCTCTCCAGAAAAGCTTGGCTCAGATGATGAAACAAGGGGAGAAAGAAAGGATTGCATGTGTCATATATGATACTGCCATGTACATGGCAGAAGCGGCCGCTAACCATCTAAAGCTTCCAACCATTGTCCTAGTGACATACTGCGCTGCTACTATGCTCACTCATGTTACCTATCCGCAACTTCAAGCAGAGGGCTACATCCCCCCAAAAGGTTCTTGTCTATTCCCAACCCTCTATTTATGCTTCTATGTATTTTTGATACTCTGAATATGTGAGCAAAAAATAATAATAGCTAAAAAATTGTCTGTATCATATAAAGAAATCTTACTAGTAAGGTACAAAAAGTTGCCTTGAAAATGATGCCTTCTGTGTCAGTAAGTAGGGAGAGTACACCTTCTATGTCTGCATACATACATATATATGACTATATTTTTACAGCCCACAAAATTCTCTGATATGGAAACGTTTCTAATGTCACAGACTCAATGTTGCAAGACCTAGTGCCTGGGCTTCATCCCTTCAGGTTCAAGGGTCTAACCACTTTCAATTTCCCAAATTTAGAAGTCTTGTTACAACTGATAGCCACCATATCCAAAATTAGAATGTCTTCAGCAATTATTTGTAACAATATGGACTGCCTTGAACAACCATTTCTTGCACAGCTGAAGAACCAGTACCAAGTTCCAATTTTCTCAATGGGTCCCTTTCACAAAATTGCCCCACCTTCCTCTAGTAGCCTACTTAAAGAGGACACTAGCTGCCTTACATGGCTTGATAAGCAAGCTCCCAACTCTGTTATATATGTAAGCATTGGAAGTGCAGCTTTCATAGATGAAAGAGAACTAATTGAGACAGCCTGGGGACTGGCCAACAGTAAGCAACCTTTCTTGGGTGATTCGACCAGGCTCAGTTCGCGGCTTGGGATGGCAAGAGCTATTGCCAGAAGGTTTCGAGAAAGCAGTTGAAGAAAGAGGTTGTATCGTGGAATGGGCACCGCAGAAGGAAGTGTTAGCACATGTTGCAGTGGGAGGTTTCTGGAGCCATTGTGGTTGGAATTCAACCTTGGAAAGTATTGGCGAAGGTGTGCCAATGATTTGCCAGCCATATTTTGGGGATCAAAGGATGAACGCAAGGTGCGTGAGCCATGTATGGAGGGTAGGCCTGGAATTGGATAATGAATTGGAGAGAAGTAAGATAGAGACAGCTATAAGAAGACTAATGGCAGGTAAAGAATGTGAGGAGATGAGACAGAGGACAATGGATTTGAAGGTGAAGGTTGAGCTTTCCATAAGGGAAGGTGGTGGTTCTTACAATTCATTGAATGATTTGGTAGAGCATATCTTGTCAATTTGATTTCCAAGACAGCAGGGCATTAGAGTGTTCAGCCACTTATTTGTTGTTAACTACCAACTGTTTCTATGCAATATGGATAAACTCTCAATCAATTTATTCTGGGAAATAAATTGGGAAGTTCTAAAATGTAAATTCAGGTTGACATATGAGTCTGTAGGTTATCATCTTATATGAGTTTGTATGTTTTACCAAAGGGTTGGACTAAAGGGGGGAGTCAAAGGCTCCCTCGTTAAATACTCCCTCAGAATCAAAGGCTCCTTAGGTACTCCTTCCATCTCAAATCAAGTGTCGTCCCAAATTAAGTATCAAAGTTTCAAATAACTACACTTAATTTGAGATAGAGGGAATATTTTGAAAGTATTGAATTCATGCTTTGAATTTGAAATTGAAAAAAGTTTAGTTCAAAATTTGTAATAAATTATTTATAATTCCAAATTTAAAGGGTCAATTGGATGCCCACCAAACATAGCTGGAATTGTTGCGGGAGTTTCTCATTTTGTTCAAACCCTAGCTTCGGAATATTATTATTCTACTTTAAAATAAATCAAGTCCAGGGTGAAGGGCCCATTGGACAAATTGGAGTAACACCTTTGGTTTGATGTAGTATGGGCCACAAAAGCCCATAGGACTATGTTAATTGGGGCAAAAGGCCCACAGTAACTCTAGAAAGTTCGTTTCGATACAATCACAAATAAGGGAGGAATTCAGCTGAAAGTACTGGAAGATTCCCTCGTACATATGCGAGCAATAGATGAACTCTCCTGAAAGCACTGGAAACACCTCATGAATCTTTAAATACCCAACACATCCCCTCCTGCAAAACCAACAAGCATCTCGACGAATTAAGCGAGCATCCAATCAATCGATTAACCCTCAGTTTTGCAATCTTTAATCCAAGAACATCGAAAATGTCTTTGATTCCAAGCATCTTTGGTGGCCGTCAAAAGAACTTCTTCGATCCATTCTCTATCGACGTTTGGGACCCCTTCAAGGACTTCCCATTATCTTCCTCTTCTTCAAGCGGGGTCTCTGCATTGGTGAACACTCGCGTTGATTGGAAGGAAACACCAGAAGCCCATGTGTTCAAGGCAGACCTTCCAGGGATCAAGAAAGAAGAAGTGAAGGTCGAAATCGAAGATGAAAGGGTTTTACAGATCAGCGGAGAGAGGAACGTGGAGAAGGAGGACAAGAATGACAAGTGGCATCGGGTGGAGCGCAGCGGCGGCAAGTTCATGAGGAGGTTCCGGCTGCCGGAGAATGCGAGGACCGATCAAATCAAGGCCTCCATGGAAAATGGAGTGCTCACTGTTACTGTTCCCAAGGAGGAAGTGAGGAAGCCTGATGTCAAAGCTGTTCAGATCTCTGGATGAATTCAATTGAATGGTGTTTTTAACTTCAAATCTAATCTACAATAATGTGATATAAGTAAGAATGCATAGGGAAGGTCTTTGTTAGTTTTGTGGTGTTTGTAGGACGTTTGATGTAACTTTCGAGAGAAAAAAATATATATGTTTGATGTAATAATGTCTATTTGGCAGTGTTATTTTTAGTTTTTGTGAATTTGAATTTTATTATTGTGTTTATTGATTTTCGCTTCCTTTAATTTGTACCTTTACCTAGTGTAAATGTTTGATTCTCTACAAAAACAAAAACAAAAATTCTGGAATTGGCTTATTTTAAAAATAATAAAATTTAAACGTAATCAAATAAATTGTGTATTAACATTAAAACGTTTTACTTATTTTAAAAATAATAAACAAAATGATAGGTACACCGGGCCTTGGAGGTGTATATGTGTGCCCGTCACAAAAAGTTTTGAGTATTTTTTTTCAATTAAATTTGATATTTATCAACCAAAAATTGCAGAAAGTTGACCATAGCCAATTTTTTTTTTCTCTCTCACGACCATAGAGCATATTACATCATAACACGTTCCTGCCAAGAAAAAAAGCGTGGCACCAATAAATGCATGAGAGATTATTTGTAAAATGGCTCCATTGAGTACCGTATCGGTTTTAGAGCTTATTCCTATAATTATGAAACCCATATGAGATACAAAAGAATAGGCTATTCTTTTTTTAAAATTACGTTGGCCAAGATATGTTGAAGCTGCATAGATTATTTGCGTTGTACCTATTACGATACTAACAAGTCTTCAAAACACTTAAGTAGGTATGTCAACGAGGTGTGTACAGGATGGGGCGTCCATTTTTAGGACTTGTCGTTGTTTCCCTAATCTGGCGTCGTTGTTTCCCTAATCTGGATTTAGGGCGTTCTAATATATATATTAAAAAAATAAAAATAAAAAATCATTTAAACTTGAATAAATTTATGATAAATTTTGTAAATTTTTTATAATTTAGTAAAATATTTAACAATCATAATAATAAAAATTTTATTAAATTTTAAAATTATCATAAGAAATAAATGAAAAAGAACTATTACAGTTAATAAAATAATATTTATTTATATATTAATAATTATTAATCGGGATGGATTTGGGACTTTGCAGATTTTAAACTCTCTTTTCAAATTAACCCCTAATCCGATGATCCCAAATCCATCCCATCAGGAGCGAAACAGCCCCCAAAGGAGCGGGTTAAATTAACATCCCTACACTCACATCTTTGCATACTTCATAGACATTGCCTAGGTAGCCATAGCAGCTCCATTATTTTCTCTTTGGAATATATCCTAAACTCTAAATTTGCCTTGGAAGATCAAATCATCAACCACAACAAAAGCTACAACGGGGAAAGGCGAGGTTTAATTTCCTAAATCACCCTGGATTTATTACCGAAATCACCCCAGCATCAGTCTCAAACACAACCCTTCCTCAACACCATGGCCTCAGCAGTACAACGGCAACAACATTCACCAAATAAATAGCCACACCTTTTAGAACTCACGCCAAAGAGTCTACATACAACTTCCAGCAACCTTTAAATTAAAAGCAGCATCAGAATTTATCTTTACATATTCTTTTTGAGGAGGAGACCAAACAATACTTTCTTGAAACTTTATCTTCAGCCATTTTCTTTGAGGAGGAGTCCAAACAATACTCTGTCTTGAAACCACCCCCTATCCTCTAGATCTGACACACTCCAATCCAATTTACATTAATAAATTGAACAATTGGAATGCATCTAACTATGTGCCAACATCAAACGTAGGTAACATCATCATACATCAGAGTGTCTGCTTAACAGTTTATAAATAAAAACAAACTATAAGCCTATTGTGCGAGTTTCGACAAAATTCAACTGTTAATTACACGTTATACTACCAACTCCTATTACAATAATTATATCTTATACAAAAGACTTTCTGTTCCATTCACACCCAAGACCCTAGACATGGCAGTGGCAACCAAACCTTGTACCTGAAAAACATAGATATAAAAGGAGTGAGTTTTAAGCCCAGTGAATACAACACTACTACATCATAATAATATAAACAAATATTCTCTGATAACTTCAATTGAACTTCATTAATATATAACTTCATGTTTTATAAGCATCATAATATAGTACTCTCCTTCTAAGCCAAAGTATAGACCTTATAAAATATAGTACTATCCTCTTGGCCAAAATATGGATCTTATATAATATAATATATTCATGCTATATAAGCATCTTCATATCATATCAACATTTTCAATACTTCAATTAATACATTTAAGTATAAAACTTCCAGTGAGTACACTCACCTTTGATTTCTTTTCAAATTATTTATTTGTCCTTCCATATTGTAGTAGCTTCCGTCTCATTCTCTTTGCCTATACAAGATTATAACCATGTCATATTCATTTCTAAAAAAAATTAAATAATACTCATTACATCCATAGTAATATCCAACCTTGGTATGCAATTGTAATTACAATCCTTTTATACGAAATCCCAACTCAACACTTGCATCAAATTAACCATTATATCTTAATTCAACCAATTTCATATCTGAATTAGGTAAAATAAAATAAATAAATAAAATAGATGCAATTTATTCAAAACCCACTAACAGGTTATCCATGTAGAGTTCACACAATAAATATCCAAAATAGAGTAACGAAAACTATGAACTTCACCTTTACTACGTTTTTAGTAATAGCCCAACAAAAATTTTCTTCCACCTCTCTCTCTTTCTTTTACGGGAACTCACCTTTTTTCCCCTCTGTTTTTCTATTCAAAAGACTATTATACATCATTTGTACTATCAACCGATCAAGGAGGTTTCAAAGGTAAGCTTCAATACCATTATTAATTTATCTCTGCACCACGTGTCACTTCAGTGTTCAATTTGTTTTTCCATCTATGATTCATGTGTGCCGCAGTTAGTAACAGTTACCAAAAATAAGTTTTTAGAACAAATTGTATTCATACATACAAATCTATATACATGTGTTGGTGTGATGCATGCTTGAGTTGGCCTAACAGGTTACCTATATGTATGTATATATACATACTTGGTCAAACTACAAAACTTAAATCTAAATTATGGCTCCCCTGGTACCTGAAATATAACTTCTTTCCGGAAATAATCTATTGAAGCATGATACGCAAATAGCCAATTCATACCCAAAATGATATCAAAGTCTGGTATACTCAACAATAGCAAATTTGCATTTAACTGTCTATCTCCCAATTGCAATACACAATCCCGATATTCATTTGCAACCACTACCACTTCCCCCATTAGTGTAGAAATAAACAATTTACTATCTAATGATGAAAGTGGTTTACCCAAATGCATAGCAATTGATGATGCAAAGAATGAATGTGTTGATCCAGGATCAATAAGCATAGTAACATTTCTACCCAAAATAGAAAGTGTACCTGTCAATACTTCCTTTGTCGCTTGAGCATCCTGAAGTGTCATAACAAATATTCTTCCCTGGGTTTGTGAACCACTTGGAGCACCCCTACCTCCTCTTGATGAGCTCCCCTGTGCAAAACCTCTACCAGATCCAGCAACACTACCCACTGATGTCACTCCTATCAACATAGGACACTCTCTTTTCCGATGACCCGGTTGATGGCAATGATAGCACTCTTCTGTCTTCAATACAGGACAATCTTTCTTCTGATGACCTTCATTTCTACACTGAAAACACCCTCTACTAGTACCATGCCCCCCAAATGTTGTGCAAATTGGTGTTCAGAAAACCCTTGACCTCTTCTAATGCCTGATGTTTGCCATTGAAATTCACTACCCCTTCCCCTTCCATACTGTGACTTCTGACCTCTTTGACTCGAAGATCCTGCTTCACCTCCACTTAACTGTGTTGGCTCAAATCTATTTCTTTTATATCGCTCCCTTCTTTCCTACAATTCCTTCACATCTTTTCCAGCAATCATAGCTTTGTTCACAAGTTTATTGTAATTTTTCTCCTCAAAAATTGAAACTCTAGATTTAACAGCTGCTTCTAAACCATCTTGGAATCTCATACATTTATCTTCTTCATCCTGTACAAACTTAGGTGCAAACCTCAATAGAGCTGTAAACTTAGCTTCATAATCGGCTACAGACATTTTATCTTGTGCTAGGAGAATAAACTTCCGCTCCATCTGCTTTCTGTAAACTGGAGGAAAATATTTTTCATAAAAAGCTTTCACAAACGGATTCCAGAATATCACCTCTCTTTCTCCTAGAGTATGCAACAAATGTTTTGTTGTTTCCCACCAATAACTGGCTTCGTCTTTGAACATGAATGTAGCCAAATTTACTTTTTTGTCTTCTGATGCATTCATTATCGCAAATATAAACTCCATCTTTCTAACCCACCCTTCTGCTTCTTCTGTTTTGTAGTGCCTGAAAATTCTGGGGATGTTAACTTTATAAACCTTTTATGATCTGAGCCTTTCTTTCCTTCCTGTTGCATCTCTTGCCTTGTTTGTGCCATGATTTGATTTGTAATAAACCTTTCATTTTGTTCTTCCAATCGTGCTATAGCTCACTCCATTTTCTGTAAGTCATTTAACTGCTCCTGTTCTCTTCCCATATTACCCTGAACAGATTGTTCCACTTTAGCCTCAACAAGAACATAAGAAGCTTTTTCCTCGGTTCCATGATAATTATGTCCTTCTTCCATTACTTATTATCTGCAATGAATCTCAAATATAACAACATATATATATATATATATATATATATATATATATATATATATATATATATATATTATACACATCCACTTCAACTTATTTGTTAGTATCAAATCAAGTTAAATATATGACTCTGCTTCACACTTCCTACTACCACTGTCAGTTTAGACTCTTACTACCTCCAGAACCTAGAAAACCTAGAAAACCTAAGGTCTGATACCAAAAGTTGACACACCCCAACCCAATTTACATTAATTAATAAATTGAACAATTGAAATGCATCTAACCAACTGTGCCAACAACAAACATAGGTGACATCATCATACATCAGAGTATGCTTAACAGTTTATAAATAAAAACAAACCATAAGCCCGTTGTGCGAATTCTGACAAAATTGAACTACTAATTATACATTATACTACCAACTCCTATTACAATAATTACATCTTATACAAAAGACTTTTTAGTGTTCCTTTCCCACATTCACACCCAAAACCCTAGACATGATAGTGGCAACCAAACCTTGTACCTGAAAAACATAGATATGCAAGGAGTACGTTTTAACCCCAGTGAATGCAACTAAGGGTGCAACTTGGGCCTGCCCAGTCCAGCCCAGACCGAACCCGACCTCAACCCAATTTCGTGTTAGGTTGGGCCGGCCCAAAGTAACACAAATCTGGGCTTCAACCCGTGGGCTTCAACCAGAATATTCACAGGTCGGACGGGTTATCCGGGTTAACCCGTTTTCTTTTTCTTTTCTTTTTTTCAAAACAGTGGGTCTAATTTTTTTTTCCCTTTTTTTACTATTTGAATTTAATTTCAAAAAGATTTTTAAAATATTTTTGCAAATGCAAAATATGTAGATTTTATTGATATTTTTTAAATATTGAAAACGTAGTGTATATTTTTTTTATTTGGCAGATTAATTGGATTGACATATTGTTATTACTATTATTATTATTATTTTGAAATATCTCTCTCTCTTACCTGCGTTTTTACACATATCCACCATAATTGATCATTCAAATAAAATTATAACTTAATTATAACCGTCCAATCTGACATCTAAAGGATCTCATCAAACCCTAGAAATATTAAGCCCCTCTTTCTTCTCTCCCAAAAAAATAAAAAATAAAAAGACTTGAAATCTTCAATTTGGGTTTCAAAAACAATTGACCAAATCAAAAATTTTATTTTTTTACCACCCACCCCAAAACAACACAACCACTTCTTTACATCATTCAATTCTCCTCGGCATTAATCAATTTAAAGATTTGTTAGGAAAAAAAAATACAACCAAACAACACACTTTCGCTACATTTTTTTTCCAATGCCCACTCCCAAACACATCAGGAGGCAGAGATAGAGAAAGAAGAAGGTGGCAGAGGAGGAGGAAAACGGAGGCGATGTAGGAAAGCACCAGAGGTGGTACTTGGTAGGCGGCGGTAGGTAGTGGACTAGTGACGGCTTCTTCTTTGAACATAATGATTTTTTTTTTTTTTTTGGGTTACAAATCTAGTTATGAAAAAAAAAAAAAAAAAAAAAATTAAAAATTAAAAATTAAAAATTAAAAATTAAAAATTAAAAATTAAAAAAATCAAATTCGGGTTGAGATCAGGTTAGAACGGTTCTAACCCGTGGCCAACCCGAATCGGGCCCAGGTTGAGAATTTCCAACCCAATCCCAACCCAAGCTTCTAAAATTGTGAGCCCAACCCAAACCGAGTTTGTCTGGGCTAACCCGCCCAACTTGCACCCCCAAATGTAACACTACTACATCAGAATAATATAAACAAATATTATCTGATAACTTCAATTAAATTTCATTAATACATAACTTCGTGCTTTATAAGCATTATAATATAGTACTCTCTTTCTAAGTTAGAGTATGAACCTTATATAATATAGTACTCTCCTTCTAGGCCAAAGAATGGACCTTATATAATATAGTACTCCCCTTCCAAGTCAAAATATGAACCTTATATAATATAGTACCTTCTTGGCCAGAGTATGGACTTTATATAATATAATACATTCATGCTATATAAGCATCTTCATATCATATCAACATCTTCAAAACTTCAATTAACACATTCAAGTATAAAAACTTCTAGTGAGTACGTACACTTACCTTGGCTACTTTTCAAATTATCTACTTATCCTTCCGTATTGTCGTAATTCCATCTCCATCTCTTTGCCTATACAACATTTCTAAAGAAAAATAAATAATACTCATTACATCCATAATAATTTCCATCCTTGGTATACAATTGTAATTAAAATTGTAGTTACAATCCTTTTATACGAAATCCCAACTCAACACTTGCATCAAATTAACCGTTATCTTAATTCAACCAATTTCATATCTGAATTAGGTAAAATAAAATAAATAAATAAAATAGATGCAATTTATTCAAAACTCACAGGTTATTCATGCAGAATTCACACAATAAATATTCAAAATAAAGTAAAGAAAACTATAAACTTCACCTTTACTACGTTTTCAGTAATAGCTCAACAAAAAATTTCTTTTCTTTTTCTTCTCTCTCTCTCTCTCTCTCTCCCTCTTGCACGAACTCACCTTCTTTCCCCTCTATTTTTCTATTCAAAGACTACCATACATCCTTTGTAGTATCGTCAGCTGATCAAGGAGGTTTCAAAGTTAAGCTTCAATATCATTATTAATTTATCTCCACACCACGTGTCACTACACTGCTCAATTTGTTTTCCCTTTTATGTGACTCATGTGTGCCACGGTTAGTAACAGCTTCCAAAAGAAGCTTTTGGAACAAATTGTATCCATACATACATATCTATATCCACGTGTAGGTGTGATGCGTGCTTGAGTTGGCCTGACAGGTTACCTAAATGTGTGTGTGTATATATATACTTGGTCAAACTACAAAGCAAGTATATTATTATAATAATATAAATTAAAGTTATTCATCAATATCCATCCCACCACTTCCACCATTTACTAATTTCAGCACAACACATACGCCTTAAGTATGCATACCCATGGTAGTCCGCCAACACAAACATATCAGCTGTTCCACTACTATTAGTTATTATTATTATTTTCAATTGGCTGTTAACCATGTTACCACATATATTAAGTGCGCATATAAAATACTCATATGTAAATCATTTTTAATCAAAAGTAAGTTATGCTAATAACAAAGATTATGTACTGGGTTCTGACAGTATCACTCAGTACTTTGGACAACATTCTGATCCATGGCTTCAAAATACTATTGGCGATAATAAGAAAAGGGGATAGTTTCCACACCAAAGCAGTCCTACAAGGAGGACTGACTGATAGTTTCAAAGTCCACTCCACTTTGCACATCATAGAGTCCACTCCACTTTGCACCACTCAGATTATGCTGCTGCAAAAGTCTATTCTTTTACTTAATTACCACTTGATAACCAGATTTCAAACTTCTTCCACGAGGAGTGCATGACATACTGTTGTGTAGTTTAGATATTAGTCATCATCCACGCAGTGTGACTATTGCTTCTGTTGAAACAAATATATATCCTTTATATATGGTAAATTTAAGAAGAGAACCAATTTACATCAATAATCAATAAAAGAACAAATTCAAGAAATGCCAAGAAAAATCATTTCATGTCCATCATGAGTATGATGATTCATATTCACTTTATGTCAAGAAAAAACATAAAGCATCCTCGGTTCTGATGCTGAGATCCAAATGAGGACTTATGGCAGAATGATTTCTATTACACGTTTACGTGTGTGTATATATATATATATATACTTCCTAGCTAGTACTAAAGGCAATCTTCTTCTGCAGTACTGCTCCCAGATCACTAGAGAGAGAGGAGATGGAAAAACAAGGACACGGGTGTAGGAGATTGGTACTATTGTCACAGACTCAATGTTGCAAGACCTAAGTGCCTGGGCTTCATCCCTTCAGATTCAAGGATCTAACCATTTTAAATTTCTCAAATTTAGAAGTCTTGTTACAATTCATAGCCAACCTATCCAAAATTAGAACCTCTCCAGCAATTATTTGGAAAATTGTGGACTGCCTTGAACAACCATTTCTTGCACAGCTAAAGAAACATTACCAAGTTCCAATTTTCTCAATTGGTCCGTTTCACAAAATTGCCCTACCCTCATCTAGTAGCTTACTCAAAGAGGACACCAGCTGTATTACCAGGCTTGATAAGCATTGGAAGTGCAGCTTCCATAGATGAAAGAGAACTAATTGAGACAGCTTGGGGACTGGTCAACAGTAAGCAACCTTTCTTGTGGGTGATTCGGCCTGGTTCAGTTCGCAGCTTGGGATGGCAAGAGCTATAACCAGAAGGTTTCAAGAAAGCAGTTAAAGAAAGAGGTTGCATTGTAGAATGGGCACCGCAGAAGGAAGTGTTGGCACATGTTGCAGTGGGAGGTTTCTGAAGCCACAGTGGTTGGAATTCAACCTTGGAAAGTATTGGCGAAGGTGTGCAATGATATGCCGGCCATATTTTGGGGATCAAAGGATGAACGCGAGGTATGTCAGCCATGTATGGAGGGTAGGCCTAGAATTGGATAATGAGTAGGGGAGAAGAGAGATAGAGAGAGCTATAAGAAGACTAATGGCAGGTAAAGAATGTGAGGAGATGAGACACAGGGCAATGGATTTGAAGGTAAAGTTTGAACTTTCCATAAGGGAAGGTGGTTCTTCTTACAATTCCTTGAATGATTTGGTAGAGAATATCTTGACATTCTGATTGTTTAGACAGCAGGGCATTAGGTTGCTTAGCTACTTATTCATTCTGGGAAATAAGTTGGGAAGTTCTAAAGGTAGCATATTCTAAATACAGGGTCACATATGAGGCCTCTATGTTATCAACTGCCATTCTTATTCTCTATGGTCTCTATTTTAGTGAAGCACTGCACATATTATATATATAGATTACCAATATTGCCTGCAAATATACCATTTTTGTAGCATTAGAATAGAAACTGTGACCATTTTAAATATTGTTTTTTTTATCAAACAATTAAGTGGCCAATAATTGTCATGATTCCTTGCCAAATTTATGAGGAAACAGGAATCACCCTTATAAATAAATCCAAAGGAATTCATTCCTTAAAACTCTTGGCTGGTGATGTAGATCAGCTCCATTACACACCCTACAATCATATTACCATCTTTGTCTTAATCTCATATGAAAGAGGTCGACAACATGAATTGTCGTTTTCCATTATATTCTATTACCAGTCTCTCTCTCTCCTTTACTATTTAAGTTTTTAAAATTTCTAATGATTTCTCTGTCAACAAAAAAACATCTAAGCTTCAAATTATGGTTATAATAGAGACTGCATCAAATAAAAAGCATACAGTAACGAATATTAAACTGCAATTGAAGTAGGTCATGCAATATTGTGAGTCGCATGGAACAATTTTTTTGGGGGTTAATTACAACGACACCCCCTGAGGTTTGATGTATTAACAGCCATATATAACTTAGCCATTTTTTGAACAATGACACCCCCTGTGAGAATTTTGATCCAAACAAGCCCTTAAAATGTTAAAAAGACGAAATTGCCCTTCAATGTTTAATTCATTTTTGTGAGAAAATATCATAACTTATGAAAAGTCAATTTTACCCTTATATATATACATTATTACATCAACACCATCATATATATATATATATATATATATGTATATATATATATATATATATATATATATATATATATATATAAAACCAAGTCCAACAAAAAATTGGGATAGCAGCACCGTCGCCAACCACAGCTGAGCTCCACCTCCCTCGCCGGATATGTCTCACCGTCCACAGCCACCGGCCGAGCTCGCCGTCGTTCTCATCGCCGGTCGTAAATCATAGCCGACTTTTCCTTGCCCCCCAGTGGACATCATCAAAGCCGAGAGTCCCTGCCGGTGGACATCCAGATCTGTCTCACCGATCCACAGTCACTGGCCGAGCTCGCCGTCGCTCTCATCGCCAGTCGCAGATATCCATAACCGAGTTCTCCTTGCCCGCCGGTGGACATCGTCAAAACCGAGAGTCCCTCCTCACTCACCGCCACAGTTAACCAGCCCGTCTCTATCGGCTTCATCAAGCCGTCACCGCTTTGCCGCAGTTCATTCACACCCATGCTCTCCATCTTGCTCGCAAGCTCGCCGCCGAGTCTCCACAGCCAGTGGATGCTTTGACGAAGGCCTGGCACCGCCTCCACTCTCTCTACCACTATTGCCCCTGTTCGTTCTTTCAAGAAATATATATATATATATATTTGCCCACAAAATTGAAGAAACACATTGGATAGGCACAGAGAAATTAATTAATAGTATGCAATAATTCTCACTAAACTCATTTGCAATCTCTCTGTTTCGTTTTTTGGTGGAGGTGGCAGTGGTGAGTGGTGGTGGTTTTGGGGGCAAAATTTCTAGTTTTCAGTGAAAGAGGATAGAGATATAAAATTAGAATTCATAAGGGTAATTCTGTCATTTGAAGATTTGGATATTTTAAATTAAAAATTAGTATTTTATTAAAGGGCAATTTAGTCTTTTCTCACCTTTTAAGGGTCTGTTTGGATAAAAAATTCTAGCAAGGGGTGTCTTTGTTAACTTTATCAAACCTAGTGGGTGTTATCGTTCAAAAATGGTCTAACTTGTATATAACTGTAATTATAATAAACCTCAGGGGTGTCATTGTAATTAACCCTTTTTTTTTTAGACAAAGAGAGTAGTTGGCACTTAGAGATTAAAGTGCAAAAAAAAATTGTAGCAAATTGCCCACTAATAATCAATTTTGACCAATTCTTTTTTATAAATACTCCAAAATATCCTTAATAAAAGTTTTTTTAAAAATTAAACTTTTGGTGCATTTTATTATTTCAATTTTTAAATTGAAAAAATATCTATATAACTTTTTCTTACAAAATAAAATAATTAAATCCACTGTTATAAAAACACAAGACAGACGCAGCGACTAAAGGTGGAAAAGTCCTTTGGAGAAAGGAGAAACCCCTTCGTTTTATGAATCTGGGCCACAAAAGCCCATAAGAAAATATGACTTTGGGCCTCACCGACTCTAGAAAGTTCGTTTTGATGCTATTAGAAATGGAGAAGAATTCACCTGAAAGTACTGGAAGATTCCATCCTACGTGTAGATACGCAACCGAAAAAATTCTCCTGAAAGTACTGGAGACTTCCTCATGAATGTTTAAATACCCAACACATCCCCCAACTGCAAACCAACAAGCATCTTGACGAATTAAGCAACCAACCAATCAATCAATTAACTTTCAATTTCTCTCCTGAGTCTTGCAATCTTCAATTCCAAGAAGATAAAAAAATGTCTATGATTCCAAGCATCTTTGGTGGCCGACGAAGCAACGTCTTCGATCCTTTCTCTCTCGACGTTTGGGACCCCTTCAAGGACTTCCCATTCTCTTCCTCTTCTTCTTCAAGGGAGGCGTCTGCGCTGGTGAACACTCGCGTTGATTGGAAGGAGACACCGGAAGCCCATGTGTTCAAGGCGGACCTTCCAGGCATCAAGAAAGAGGAAGTGAAGGTCGAAATTGAAGACGATAGGGTTTTACAGATCAGCGGAGAGAGGAATGTGGAGAAGGAGGACAAGAATGATAGGTGGCATCGGGTGGAGCGCAGCGGCGGCAAGTTCATGAGGAGATTCCGGCTGCCGGAGAATGCGAGGACCGATCAAATCAAGGCTTCCATGGAGAATGGAGTGCTCACAGTTACTGTTCCCAAGGAGGAAGTGAAGAAGCTTGATGTCAAGTCTGTTGAGATCTCTGGTTGAATTTGAAATTGTATTTTTAATCTATATACTTGTACCATTATATGTATGAACGCTGAGGAAAGGTGTTGTATAATTTGTATGTGATGTGTTTGATGTAACAAGTGTTATTTTGAACTAATGTGAATTTGAGTCATTTATAAGTGTGTTTCTTGATTTTGGTTCTCTTAATTTTTCTTCAGAAATATTAAGTTAACCCAAATTTGTGAGCTATTCAGAAATATAGTTGGGCTATACATTGTTTGTTCAAATCCAACTTGGCCCGTTTATGCAGGCTTATATAATAAACCCAATCAACACTTCACACTCATAAGTGGCAGTTTTGCACAATTCAGATGCTAAGAGCATCTCTAGGTATTTGTTAAAAAAAAAAATTGTGTAAATTTGATGTGTTAAGAGTAAGTTTACACAAAAAATTTGTACTAACTATTTTTAGTTCGAGCAATTATTTTATATCTTATATCTTTTGTGTAAAAAACTATTTTCCAATAACAATCAACCATATGTCATACTTAAAAGTCTTACATAATTTTTACAAACTTACTTTATTTAGAGCATCTCCAACCCACCTCCTATATGGACTGTCAATTCAAAATATAACAGGTGAGTTAAAATTGAGCCCTCTAATGGGTTGTTATATCACCTGTTAAATTTTGTCTTTGCTATTTTTGGTGCCAAATCTAACAAAAGAAATAGCAATAGCTATTTACCATTATTGTTGCATGCCGTCTCTCTCTCTGCCAATATCTCTCTCTTCAGAGCAAAAGCTTCCAATTCCGGCAATCTCCTCGGCGACGATCCATTTGGGTTCTATATATACATACATTTAAAAAAGATCATAAAAATTTTTACCAAATAGGATTTAGTTTGCAAAACAAGAATTACAGACTTTGATTAGTTGATTTAGAAAAAATAAAAATAAAAAAAAATTAAAACAAAACCCATACGTACAAGTTAGCAGTTGCAGAGAGAGAGGTAACCTGAACTGAAACAACGGGCGATGGAAACTGAAAGATATGGGTTTTGAACTTCTGATTCTTATTGATTTTGTAGTTTGCAGTTGCAGAGAGGGGAGGGGGGAGCAATTTCAGAGTAGAGAACGAGAATAGAGATGGAAGCGATTGGGGAGGTTGAAATGATTTGCCCTAAAACTATATATGGATTTTGGGAGGCTGAAATCATTTGCCCTATATATATATATATATATATATATATATAGCAGTGGTCTACTCTGAAATTTCAACTATTAGTGGTAGGAATGGAATTTTTTCCACCATGATTTTAACATTCCTGAAAATCCCGAAGTAAGTAAATCAACTATTTTCGGCTGGCTAAGGTTATGTGAAGTAACATAATTGTTGGCTATCATGGATATATGACTGAGTTTATTGAGAATTTCCTGTTCAGACAAACCATCTATATTCCATTCATAAAGTTTATCCGAAGAGACAAGGAATATAAATAGATTAACTAGATCAACCACCAACAAATGGCTCTGATACCAAAAGGGGAAGCGCACAAAAAAATAATTATTAAATAAATTGACTGAAATTAAAATAATAATTTAATTTAGTATAACAAGATAAATTGACTGAAATTAACTGATATTAATGAAAGATAATTACAACATAATATAATAACTTAAAATCAAATAGATTACTGATAACTTACAAACTGATAGATTAATGGTAGATGGTTGTATACAGCATATTGGAGATGTAATACAACGAAGATAGGAAAAATATGATTATTACAAATGAAGACTGATTGTATGAAAACTGAAGCCTGAGTTCCCTCTGAATGAAGTCTGCTTATCCGATGGAATGGCTTCTCTCTTTATAGCTTGGTTCTAGCACTGTTGGAGGGCTGTTGGATACATCTTTCCAGAATATGCGGCGCAACTTTTGGCTTTGAAAGATGTTTCTGACTTTTCTGACTGAGGTTTACTGTACAAGTTACTGTTCCTGTCCTTTTTGCGCTAACAGCGACAGCACTGTAGATGAATAGTGTTTTGTCGGGTGACTGTAGAAATAGTGATATGCCGACAGTACTGTAGCAAATAGTAACGTTGACTTGGTACTGTAGCAAATAGTAACTCTAACCAAATAGTGATTTTGGCTTTTTCTGGCCTAGAATTCAAATGGATTCTGGGCATCTTGAAGATCATAATAAGGATCTTGTGGGTGACTTGACTCAGCAGCAGAGAAAGTATCATCTGTTTCTACTTCATCTTGGGATAGTTCTTGGATGCGATCAGTCAATGTGGCTGCCATCCTTTTGAGTTCCTCAATTTCTGACTTGCGAGTATGCTTCCAAGACTTGGTAGATGTAATAGTGTTTGTAGGAGAAGACTGTTTTTGTTGAATGGCTTGTTTTGGTGGTGGAGTGACTTGTCTTGAGGTTTGCTTCGGGTAATCATCTTCAACATATTCAATAATTCTGTCAATTTTGAAAATTTCCCACCATTTAACATAGTGGCGATGGATGAGCATGTTGTCCTGGATATCATATTGCCATTTGAATATCCATGGAACCTTATACTTGCAGCAAAATAACAAGAGGACTGGGAATTGTGAACTGTGTTTGTTAACTTTATGAACTGTGTGGAAGTATTTAACTTGATTTGCAAGGGAAAGTGGCAAGATGTCTGGAATGGCACCATGATGGGACCACCAATGCAGAAACCAGGTAGGGAGTTGACTTTTGAAATAACTATCAAAATTGAGAAACCATGAATGAGTATATGACTCATTTTGGTATAGGAATATGGAGGACCAGGCTGATACATATTCATAATATGTAAACTGAATATTATAATTAGGCAGTGGTTGGGGTAAGTAGGGATGACTGCCCCATTATTCCATGGAGATAATCCGTCGGATATATAGGCAGTGGTAAATGACTTTGGAAGAATCATTGTGATCATAAGTTGTCTTAATGGTGATGGACTCAATATGGTACAGAATATCTCTGTAAAACCCAAGAGTTTTATGAGGATGATTTGGGGCATAATGAAGGTTACTTGGAAAATAAGAGCGAGCTAATTCTATAAGGTCCTCAATGTGACTAAGGTATGGCTCAATGTGGAATAGAACAACAGGTGTTTTTTCATAATATGGACTTGATGGCTTTCTAATAGTTGATTTTTGGACTTGGGACTGGGTTTGAACTTGTGTTTGGACTTGGAAGGGGTCTGGTGCTGAATTGACTAGAGCTGACTTAAAGGTCGATTGGGAGGCAAGTGGTTGGAACCGGTTGACCACTGCTAGGGCAGAAGTGCTATATATATATGTATGTATATAATATATATATATATATATATATATATATATATATATATATAATATAAATTTCTGAAAAAGAAAAAAAAATTATATAAAAATATATATAAATTTCTGAAAAAGAAAAATTTATAATATACATATATAAAAAATATATATATGTATATACATTTTATATAAAAAAATGTATATATGTATTATAAAATTTTATAATATACATATATATATATATATATATATATATATATATAAAATATAAATTTATGAAAAAGAAAAAAAAATTATATAATAATATAATTAAATATATAAATTTATACATATATATATATATATATATATTTGGGTCCTTTTTTAACCAAATATTTTTTATTTTTGATTCTTTTTAATTAAGTTTAATTTTAGTTTCCTTTTAATGTCTACAACTTAACTTGAAATGTGCCTAATATTAACATTTCTGATACAAATATGAATGGTAGGAATGGTAGTTGAAAAGGAATAGTAGTTGTGTCAAAAAATAGCATTTTGCATCAAATGCATTCAGAATTGCTAAAATGTAGCATTTTGACACTGTAGCACTGTCAAAATATAGATTTGACATCCGAATTTAACATTTTACCATTGGAGATGCTATTAGTTTACTTTTTGGCGATTAAACCTCACGTCCCAATCCTCCTCAATTAGGAAAATAATAATAATTTCCATTTATATTTCGCTTTTTCATCCCTGCCAATAGCAAACCTTTTACGCCCTCGCCGCCGTTCTAACTTATAACAAATAATAAAATAAGATTTAAGTATCTAGAAACTACCGAATTAAAATATATATCTAATCTTTCGTTAGTATATATTTATCTCATTAGAATAGAATATAAAATGATAAAAAATCTAAAAAAATCATAGAATCAATGATTGCAGAAGATAAGATCAAACGAAAGTAATAAATCAAACTATGTTTATTAAAAATAAAAAATAAAAAATGGTCGAGCAATTCTTACCTTGTCGTCAGTTACAGATTCTTCTCTATTCTACTCTTAAAAAGTGAGAAACAAAAAAGCGTAAAGGAATGAGAGAGAAGAAAGAGAACTGCGAGTGGGAAAGTGAAGGGAGAGAAAATATGTTTACATGGCAGTGCAAAAGTGCCGTGTAAAATACACAATCCTTTTACACATTAATGATGTGATGGTGTATCTTAACAGACGACTGGAGATAAAAAAAATTTATAAATCACATGTAACAGTGTATATTTTACACAAAAAAAAAAAAAAAAAAAATTAACAGAACGCGGAAAATGTTCCACTACAAACTCTACTTATGCATCCAAGAAGGCCCAGTTGTTATAAGTTCAGTTATATATATGTGGTAATTTTTCTGTAATAAGTTATATGGAAGGGTAAAGATTGTGACCCCTAGATATATACGTGAGCAATCAGTACCGAAAGCAAAAAAGGGTGCATTATTAGTAACATCTAATCACGACATATGTATCATTTGCCTTTTTCTTCTCACAGTACCTGTGTGTATGATTATATTCCTTTCCGAGAGCCACGCCTTTGACTCAAGGATCAGGATTCCTGTTGCGTACTGCTATTTTTCGGTGCACTGAAAAAGATTGGAATTAACTTCAAAACATAACCTGACTCCAAATATTCTCCATCTCATCTCACTACTGTTGAAAGTTTGAATCTTATTGGCACTATTTAAAGGAAAAAAATTCAGTAATTTCTTTATATATGTAATACGAGAACTCGGTGTCCAGATCTTAAATTATTGAGTATTTTAATCATAACAATATTTTAATCGTAACAACTTTCTGTTGTGCATAAAAGAGCACAGTGGCTCCAGAAGATCCAAATCCTTAGTCAAATATTGGCCTCGCCTGCCTTGATCAT